CTGGCTGCCCTGCTGCTCGCCATCCCGGCTGCTGTCTACCGCCACCTCTGGGGCGACCGCGTGTGCCAGCTGTGCCACCCGTCGCCGGCCCACGCTGCCGTGCACCTAGGCCTGGAGACTCTGACCGCCTTCGTGCTTCCTTTTGGGCTGATGCTAGTCTGCTACAGTGTGACTCTGGCGCGGCTGTGGGGTGCCCGCTGGAGCTCCCGGCGGCACGGCGTACGGGTGGGCCGGCTGGTGAGCGCCATCGTACTAGCCTTTGGATTGCTCTGGGCCCCCTACCACGCAGTCAACCTGCTGCAAGCCGTGGCCGTGCTTGCTCCACCCGAAGGGGCCTTGGTGAGGCTGGGTGGGGCCGGACAGGCAGCACGAGCTGGAACCACAGCCTTGGCCTTCTTCAGCTCCAGCGTCAACCCGGTGCTCTACGTCTTCACTGCTGGGGATCTGCTGCCTCGGGCTGGTCCTCGTTTCCTCACGCGGCTCTTCGAGGGTTCCTGGGAAGCTCGAGGGGGCAGCCGCTCTAGGGAAGGCACCATGGAGCTCCGAACTATTCCTCGGCTAAAAGTAGTGGGGCAGGTTGGAGGCAATGGAGACCCTGGGGGCGGGATGAAGAGGGGTAGTCAGGAATGGGATCCTTGACACTAAACCCTGGACGGGGCCTGCCTCTTCCCTAAAGCTTCCCATGGCCCATGGAATTCACCACGGTAGGGCCTTTGGGGAAGTCCTCTGATACAGTTTGGATTTGGCGGAGCAGGATTATTACACACTTGTGGTCGGCCTAGATTCCTCCAAACCGAGGGATTACGAGGGTGGGGATGGCGCATGTTAAAAATATCCCGTGCTTGGAGGTGGGCATGCATCCATGTGCCAGCATTACTCACCTGTTGCCAGTAGCTGTTGTGAAATACACTGGGAAGCCATTAGATAATGGTTTAAGTGTTCTCCTTTTGGTGGTTCATCATGTTTGACTTGTGCTGATGCCACCTGTTTCTCAGCTGGGCCACTCCAGGGTGGGAGAGCAAAGCCAGCCATCAGTGGCATCCTGCCCTGTCCTCTTTAGTCTGGGTGGCCTGGCTCCCCTAGGCTTATCCATAGAACCACTCTGGAAATAAAGGGAGAAAGAAGAAGGAAAGGTATGGATGGGAGTTTGGATGGAGAAAAGAGTGATATCCATTCTTTGAGGTCTGGGGAAAGAAACTGGTCCGAAAGGGGAAGGTAAATCAATGGGGTTTGAAAAGAAGCGTCCCTGCCGGTCTTGTGGTTGGTATAGTTGGAGAGAGGCACACAAGCACAGTGGTGTAGGGTCCTGGGAGCCAATGACTTACCTGACCAACTGACTACCGCACCTGGGGCAGACTTAATAAGGTGCCCAGGAGCCAGCCCTTGCTCAGCCAGGGGAAGTTTGAGGGCTGGGAATGAAGGAAGCATGGTGAATGGCCAGAATATTTGGAAAAAGAATTTCTCAGGTAGGTGCACTTCACTTCGCTGAGTATTGCCACCTCCTAAGACTGCTCGCTATTCCTAACCCCTTCTCCAACACTTCTTAGCCCCTCCACCTTTTGAAATCTATTTCTAGGTCTAAAAACTATTCTGGATCTTGACAATTTGATTTTAGGAGTACATTATGGGAGTCATTTCAGGGTTTCAGGGGGCATTCACGGCACACATGTAACCAACCCATCCCAGTTAGCCCAGAACTTTCTCAGCTTTAGTACTGCAAGACCCTGTTTCAGCCATCAGCCCTCCAGTAAGATGAAATAGTTGGTCACCTGGGTGGCTATTCTGACCATAACCCCAGACTCTGCTTTAGTGACTGTTAAACTGTTTATAACCTCCAGGCAGAGGTGAAGAGAGCAAAGGAAATCTAGAGTTCAGGGCCATGCCAGAGCCACCAAAACTGAGGTTGGAGGGGTTCTGAAACAGGGCATCAGAGAGTATCTAATTTAGAGTGCCTCTTCCTTGATGGGGGAAGAAAGGCCCTTTAGGGAGATGAAATGGGGCAGCTAGGGAGGAGGCAAAACCACCCAGTTTCTAAAGGGGCTTCAAGTTGACCCTGGAGCTCTGAGCTAGAAGCTTCTATCACCAAACAGAGGTTTCTTCCTGTCCTGGTACTCGCAGCAAAGGTTCACTAACTTCCTCTGTTACATATTCCCCAGTTTACACACCCTGTGTGGTCAGAAAGTCCCTCCTCAACCAGCCTTCAGTTCTTGCTGTGGTTTCAGCCCATTTGTTTTCATCATATCCTCTGCCTGACAGTTACTGGGTCAACACTGCTCTGGTTTTTCTCAACCCAGAGCAAGCGGGGCAGCTGGAAAATGTAAAGAACTTCAACGGCCACCATTACACCCTACGTCTTTCCTGTGAAGTGGCAAGGTTGAAAGAGAAGCAGGAAGGCTTGTGGTAGACCGAAGGAAGGCATTCTTAGTTCTTAGCTTCCACAGGGGACTTCAAGGAAAAAAAAAAAAAAAAAGACATCCTTCCACTCAGGGAGGGAGAGGAGTGACACTTTGGGGCTGTTTTTCTTTCCACATCCCTGGATTCTTAGTTTGAGGCATCACTTTCCCTGTGCCCTCACTTCTATTCCTCATGCTCAGCTCAGCCTCTATTTCCTTTGCCTGTCAAAGGTAGAACTGGACCACCTAAGGCTGTGGGGATGTAGGATTGTTATGGTTTATGTTTAGCTGTCCCCGCAAAAGCTCATGTGGGGGAGGTGGGGCTTTCTTTTTCAGAGGAAGTTGAATCTGGAATGTGTGATGCTGGGGTTAAGGGTGTGAGATTACTAAACCACTACATGTGAGGGATTGGTTCGGCACGGCCCTAATCCCAGTAGTCCTAATAAGATAAAAGGGGCGGAAAGATGCTGTTCAGCACTCTTGTTGCCTTTGCTGCCTTGTGTTTGCCATGTTGTTTCTCCTCTGGGATGTCTGTTTGCCATCCCTGTCTTGGAGCCAGCTGACTATGGACTGAAACCTCTGTGAACTGTTAGCTAGATAAACCTCTTCCCCTTTAATTGTTGACTATTTTTTCTCAGCAACAAGAGAAAAGTAACTAATACAAGGATGCCTATCTCCTTGCTCAGTACTCAGTGCCTAAATCCAAACTCATTAGGGTAGCCACATGGGCAAGTGCAGGGTGACTGGTTAGGAGAAGGGGAAGAAATTGGTCTTCTGTGTGAAACCACAGCTGCTTAGACACTGGCTTCTACCAAAGGGGATGGAGAACTGGTTGATCTGGAGTGGAATCATTTTTTTAAGTGAAGAGAGGGAGGGGAGGTGCTAGAAGATGCCCTCCACCCCCTGCCACCCTGGCAGTGGTTTGAACTGAAGCCTAGAATAAGGTGCTGTCCCCTTTGGTTTACTGGCATGCGCTCTTTAAATCGTGATGTTATCTACCCTATACCCAGGCCCAGAACCCAGTCACAGCTTCAACTTACACTTCCCATTAATCTGAAGATCTATAATATGCACACACTTTTATGTGACATATAAAGAGAAATATTTTTGGATACCAATATTCTGGCCTCTCATTTTGAGCCTGTTCCTCCCTCCAGTTTTTCCCCCTTGTTTCTCCTATAATACAAATCATTCCTCTGTTCATTTCTCCAGTCTGGACCTGTATTTTGAGATCACATCCCGCCAACTCACTCTCCTCACCCCACCCACTTTCCTCTCATTGCTCCTTCCAAGGCCCCACCCTGAAGCCTACTCCTCCTGGCTGCGTGGTCTAGAATAGAAAGACTATCCCCCTCCTAGTGGAGGGAGGGTTAGGGTTTCAGCCCCACCCTCAGGAAGATGCACCTTCCCCCTCCCCTGCTTCATGGTACTTCCTCTCTGGCCGACTTAGCTGACAGCACCCAGACCCAGGGCCAAGCCCTTGGCACTGGGACAGATCTAGGGATCAGCTACCTTGTCTTGACCCTGGGATTGGCACCAGCTTCCAACCAGTATTTGGCAAAACTTGTATGTAAGTACCCTAGGAGTAGGGATGGTGGTGGTGGGGGACTGAGTGGAGCTGTGAAAGAAGGGGCCAAGGAATCTCCAAAGAAAACCTGACCACCATAAAACGAGTTGGGAGGATTTGCCTTCAAAACTTGTCCAGCAACTTTCCCAACTCTTTTATTCTTGGTCTACCCTGGTGTCCCTGGGGAGAGTGGGTAGGTGATTGGAAGAAGTCAACAGGACTGAGGGACTAAAGGCTGGGCCAGGGACTGAGGAGCTACCCTTTCATGGGGTGTACTTTTTGTGAGGAAAGTCTCTCAGTTTGACTCTGTATTTAAGGGCCCTTACCTAAGGGAAGAGACTGGAAAGGTCTGGAAATGCTGCTGCTGCTGCTGCTGCTGCTGCTGCTGCTGCTATATATTTTGCAATTAGGTCTGTGGGCAGAAAGAGGCCCCAGGGCCCAGTTAGGAAACTATTTTTGTAGTCCTACTGGCGATTGAACCAAGGTCTTGGAATTGAACAACATCCCTGACACTTTTGCTTTTCTTATTTTGAGACAGAGTCTCACTAAGTTAGTTACCTAGGCTGGACATTAACTTGTGATCCTCCCTGCACCTCTGCCTCCCAGAGTGCTGGCATTATAGGCATGTGCCACCATACCAGGCGCAGCTCGCCTTAAGACAGGTCAGTGGGCAGTGTTGGGTGATATGTTTTGGAGGGGCCTCTTATGCTGCCGATCTCAGAGACAGACCAGAGTATTGAGGGTAGGCGTGCCCCGGGCTCATACACGTGTCCACCCTCACTCTCCAGGTCCTTGTGATGAACACGAACACTACAACTCTTGCAGCCCCCACCTCTCAAGGTAACACCTTCATACCTCTGTTGTCTATGATCCTATTGTCCATGTCGCTGGCTGTGGGGCTTCCTGGCAACACCTTCGTGGTGTGGAGCATCCTGAAAAGGATGCGGAAGCGATCAGTCACTGCCCTGATGGTGCTGAACCTGGCCCTGGCTGACTTGGCCGTACTGCTCACTGCGCCCTTTTTCCTGTACTTCCTGGCCCAGCGCACATGGAGCTTTAAACTGGCTGGCTGCCGCCTGTGCCACTATATCTGTGGAGTCAGCATGTATGCCAGCGTCCTGATCATCACAGCCATGAGTCTGGACCGTTCACTGGCAGTGGCCAGTCCCTTTCTGTCCCAGAAGATGCGCACCAAGGTGGCTGCCCGCTGGCTGCTGGCAGGCATCTGGGTGGCATCCTTCCTGCTGGCCACGCCAGTCCTCGTGTTCCGCACGGTGGTGAGAATGTACAAGGAGACCGTGTTCTGCAAGGCAGAGTACCCCAGCGAAAAGCACAGGGCCTTTCATCTGTTCTTCGAGGCCTTCACGGGATTCGTGGTGCCCTTCCTGGTCGTGGTGGGCAGCTACTCTGACATCAGCCGTCGGCTGCAGGCGCGGCGCTTCCACCGTAGCCGCCGCACGGGCCGCCTAGTGGTGCTCATCATCCTGGCCTTTGCGGTTTTCTGGCTGCCCTACCACGTGGTGAATCTGGTCGAGGGGAGCCGCGCGCTGGCCGGGACGCTAGCCCAGTCCCGCCAGCAGCTGCAGAACGCCCGCTACGTGTGCATCGCGCTGGCCTTCCTGAGCAGCAGCGTGAACCCGCTGTTGTACGCATGCGCCGGCGGCAGTCTGCTGCGCTCGGCCGGCTTGGGCTTCGTCGCCAAGATGCTGGAGGCCACTGGCTCCGAAGGGCTCAGCACCCGTCGCGGGGGCAGCCTAGGCAGGACTGTGAAGAATGCCCCCGTGCCTGCGGAGACTGGCCCCGCTGAAAGCCTCGACCCTCTCAAGCAAAGCGAATCGAACTAGGACTGGTAGAAGGACCCTCGCTTTCCTCCTAGAAGAATGTCCCACGCTTTTTGACCCAATTCTGTACCGGACTATAGGTGTGGGGGGCGGGGTGGAGAGGAAGAAGAGGGGTGGGGCCAGTTAGGGGAGAGAGGCAGAGAGAGAGAGAGAGAGAGAGAGAGAGAGAGAGAGAGAATGTTTTCAGGCCTGATTGCCTCAGGCAGCATTTCAATTAAAAGTGTAAAATTGGTCAATTCTGAGTGGGTCTGTGTGTTGTGTGGCATTGGCCTTGGCCTTGTGGGGTTGAGAGGGACAGACTTCAGTTTACCATGATGTACAATTTCCAAAGAATCACAAAGGTAGGAAGAGACCCCCACCCCCACCCCAGGAGATTTGGAGGTAGGTGCTCTCTGTAGATTCCACCTGACAAAAGTCTAGGGGCTCCTATAGGCATCTCTAGTTGTCAAGGAAGACCATATTGTGGGCTCATCAGTCTAGACTCGTGTCCCAGGAGATCTTCTGAGAAGTTAGCACTACTGTGAATTGTCCTTCCTTATGCCCGCAATAAGTATCCTTTAGATGACTCCAGCTTCCTGCCCCTGATTTTCATTGCCTCAGCAGCAAATGCTCTAGGGCAGAGGTCATGAACCTTTTAGAGCTTTCAGTGACACAAACAGCCCACTGTGACAACGTGCCCTAGGTTCACCACCACTGGTCTAGGGGATTTCCTTTCTTTTCCTTTCTCCATCTCCACAGAGGTCTCACAGAAGACCCAGGTCATCAGATCTTACCTCCTAGAACTGTGCACATGAACATCTGCCAACTCTCACTACACACCCTGGCATAGGCTGGGGCTGAGGGCCCTTTGTGGCCAGGGCAACCCCCCCCCCAGGAAACAAATCCTGAAAGTGAGAGGGATGAGCCATTCATTCTTAGGTGTGTCTTGTCTCAGAGAACCTTGGTCCAACTTTGTTCTGACAGCTTAGGAAGATGGCAGCAGCAGCGGCAGTAAAGGACTGTTTGGATCTTTTCCATAGACAATCAAAAAGAAAAACAAAAACAGAAACTAGGAAAGCAGAACCAAAAGTCCACTTGTAAGATTTACAACAAATCTAGCGTATCAAAATATTGCCCATGGACCCTAAAGTATGAGCAGGCGAGAATGGAGATCAATGTTTCAAGACCCATATCCTGTGTCACCATCTGCACAAGAGGCTCAGGAGCAAGGCAGGCTCTCTGATGGACCTGAGAACAAGAAAGCCCCCAAGTTGTCTACAAGTCTTTACTAGAAAGCCTAGTGGGCCTATATGAAAACTGCAATAGAAGCTGGGAGAAATATAATAGTTTATTTCCAAGGATACTCACTCATTCTCCATGGTAAGCACATAACAGGTGCTTATTTAGTGTTTGAATAAGGTCAAATGATATTTCTGGAGATTTCTTCTAGTATTTGTGGATAGGGGACAGGAAGGACACCTCCTTGTTTTGAGTTACATGGCTAAAATTCTGTAGGATTCTAAGGTATGCATCATACTGGAATCAAGTTAGGAGGTAGGCAGGGAGGCTCAGGCAGCCCTCCTCTAAGCTTGTGAAAAGAATCACTCGCAACACACACACACACACACACACACACACACACGTGCATGCACATCCACACTCAGTTTGACATGGGAAGAAACCATCCTATTGAGGGGCCAGGAGGTGGTGATTCCCACCTACATCAGCAGCTTCTGACATCAGTTGGCTCCAGACATCCCAGAGGACTTTGTGTGGGATGGGGGACTCAGCCTAGGGTGGCTGAAGGAGGTCCAGTTCTTGTCAAGTCTGTGTTCAAGAAGTAGGTGCAGAGCTGTCCTTTGCCTTTGACCTTGATGACACCCCGACTATAGCATGTATAGCCCAAGGACTGCAGGGCCTGGGCTGTCTCCTCAGTTACCTGCAATTGGAAGGTTGTAAGGGAGTGTGGAGATGATCCTGTCCTTATCCCCTCCCCTGCTGCCAATGTAGCTCTCTCACTTGGATCTTGCCAAGGACTCCTGTGCTCTCCATGCGACTGGCCACATTCACTGTGTTGCCCCAGATATCATATTGTGGCTTCTGGGCCCCGATCACTCCGGCCACTACTGGTCCATGATTCAACCCTGACAAAGGATGTGATGAAGAGAAGCCCTTACAAGAGGAACTTTCAAGAGGAAGTGGGGAAGAGGAAGCTAAAGGAACTTGGGAGAAGGGTCAAAGGAGCCTTAAAGGAGAAGAAGGATCTCTGGGTTGGAGGAATGTGGCTTAAGGAAGGGAAGGAATGAGCTCTTGGCCCAGCGGTTTTGTGACTCAACCAACTGAGTGAGTCTGGAAAGGGGATCCAGGGATAATTTGGGAAGCAGCGTACAAAATCTTGGAGTAGGGAGACCATGGGAAAACACAGAGTTAACACTGCCCCAGCAAGACACTGGCGGGGTGTGGGGGGGAGTGCTCACCCACACGCAGGCGGAAGTTGTTGAATGAGTGCTTGTTAATGACATCCAGCTTAGACCCCAGGGCCACTGCAAATTCCACCATGGTGCCAAGGTGGCTGCAGCTCCGCTCAACATCCTGGTAAGGGCCCACCCATCAGGAGGGGCCAACAAGGACACAAGAATAAGTCCTACTTATGAGCAAACCAGTGAGAGCCCAGAGAGATATGGTAGGTAAGGAAGGTGTTGTACCTGTTGTGCGTCTTGTCCAGAGGTGGCATTTAAACCTGTGGCTGCCATGTAGGTACTGCCAATAGTTTTGATCTTCTCTACTCCACTGAACTTGGGCTTGGATAGCAGCTGTACAGAAAGGAGGCTTTGTCCCTGGTCTCTCTTCCCTTTCCCTCTCCCAGAAGCTCAGCCCAAGGACTTTGGAGGCTAAAGGACAAGGCTGCAGGGTTGACGCTGGTAGTAGGAAGGAGAGAGTTGGCAGTGGGCAGTGTTGTTAGAGAGTATAGAGCTGGGCGTCAGAGAAGGACAGGGAATGCTGGGGTGGTGGATAGGAATGGCTTCATGGACAGGACAGCAAAGTGGAAAGAGGGACTGGTGGGAAGTTCTAGAGGCCAGGACATAGGATCTGGGGTGCCCTTGGAGTTGTCACCTCATCAAAATCAGCAATTATCTCATTGAGCAGCCGCAGACACTCTAACCCCTCATGGTTGATGTTGGATTCAGAATAAAACTCCTTAAAGTCTGGGACTGAGGCAAAGAGCACGCAAACACACTCATAGGACTGGTGGTAGAGGTCCTGGGAGAGGGAGGGACAGGGGAAAGGGCGTATGTCAAGTGTCCCACATTTCAGAGGCCCTCTTCAAATATACACAATCCTAGTTTCTTTGTTCAAAAAGGATTGGAAAGGAGGGAGAGGGGTAGGGTCTGGTTATCCCGGGGATTTGATTCAGGAATCTAAGATTTGGTGTTATTATGACTCCAAGGACAGAGATTTGGGATCAGGATCACCTCACAGCTAAACGAAGGGACTCACTCCGAGAGTCAGGATCATACCAGTGGGAATTGTTTTATATCCTATCTCATTGCAGAAAAGTGTTGTATCAGTTAGGTCAGTTTATAAAGGTATAATCTAGATTATAAAATAAAGCAACAATAGGGAGTAAATATGGGACAAAGGGAAAATAAGGACACCAGGATAAAGATGGAATCAGATCTAGGGTGTTCATACGATGGGTGCCATTAAGTCCTTGGTAGTCCTGGATTCTGGATGTAAGCTTTCTAACAGCCAATGTGAAGAGAGAAATAGGATCAGTTACAAGATTCCCTGTGTCCATAAGAGAAGAAACTAGAACTACTTCTGATCTTGAGAGCTGACACTAGACAATAGGGTCCTAAGGCTGTGAAATAACTCCTGAGCCCATTCTTTGAAAACGCCCCAGTATAAGACAAAAGCATTTCCATAGTAAACAGGGCCAGGCAGTGTAGGTGCACAAAAGATGGTGCAACTATGTGGGTGACTATCTGTGGTTGACTCTTTGTGGGTGACTGATGATAGCTAGATTTTTGAGGCTTTAGAGTAGCATCATCCAATGGGAATTGCTGCAGGGATGGAAACATTCTGTAGAATGTCCTGGATATTGTAGCCACTAGTCGCATGTGGCTGTTCACTTGAATGTAGCCAGTACTGGGGACTGGACCCAGGGCCACCACATTGAGCTACATCCCCAGCCCTTTTGTTTGTTTTGTTTGTGTTTGTTTTTGTGTCTTTGGGACAGGGTCTCACTGTGTAGTTCAGGCTGGCCTTGAACTCATTATGTAGCCAGGCTGGCCTCAAACTCACGGTTGTCCCCCTGCCTCAGCCTCCTGAGTGCTGAGACTACAGGCGTGTGCCACTATGCCTGGCTGGTAGCCTGTAGCTTGCAGAAAACTCCATCAACACTGACCAAGCTTCTGCAAGATACAGAATAGGTATGAGTTGGAGAAAAAAACTCTTCCAAATAGGAACTTGCAATGTGGAGATTCTATGCCACTGAAGACAGAGTTCAAAATCTTGTGAAAATGGAGGCCTCTGACAGGGACAAAGACTTCAGTGGCTGCCTGACCCACTGGTGTGGAGTCCAGTGAGGATGGGCTAAGGGCCGAGGCTTTCATACAAATGTAGTCCCTGTGGCACCTGGGGTTCAAGGTCCAGGGATCAGGAGTCACCTCATTGCGCCGGTTCTGGCCGATGAACTGTGGGGCCACGTGCGCAGGGAGCACATTCTCCAAGAGCAGCCGGGTCAGATTCTCCATTGTCTCTGTCTCCTCCCGCTCCTGCCTCAGTTTCTTCTTCCACAGGAAGTCCAGGCGGCAGTAATATTCATTCTGGGAGGGCCATGGAGAGAGAGTGCAGGGAAGCCCCAACTCCTGAGTGTACTCCTACTCCAGGATGTCTGAGTACCCTCCACACCCAGCTTGGAGAGAAGCCTGCAGAGGCGGGAAAGTAGCAAATTAGATAAAAAGTAGGATGTACAGAACTGGTGGCAAAGTTCTGTGTAAGCATGGCTTTCTCAGATTTGAGGGTAGGAGGATGGAGGGGCAGAGAGAAGGAGCAAGAAAGGGAGCAGGAAGGCTTGCTTAGAAGTTTCCCGTGGGCACACCATTTGAGTTCAACCCTGGTGAGGAGAGAGACCAAGTCACCAATATGGGGCTCCAGCTCCGCCATTCACAGGGAGGCCCTGCAGGGCTGAGCTGGGTGGCTTACCTGCCGAGCCAGGACCAGGAGGGTGAAGAAGAAGATGAAGAAGGACATAGCACCCATCAACTTGGGTTCCTTCAGCACTCCTGGCCTGAAGGGGCCACAGATCAGGGTTGTCCCTTGCTCTTTCCCTTCCTGCTGGCCTCCACCCTGCACCCAGTGCACATGTAGCCCTTGCCTCCCTTCTTCCCCTGCCCTGTGGGTGGTTCAGGTCAGTGAGGCAAGGAGCTCTGAACACTTCTGTCCAGCGACCATACACACCTGGAATCCAAGGGACCTGGATAGAGGCGGGAAATGAGGCAGTCTGACAGCCAGGCGTGGGAGTGCAGGAAGACAGAGCAGGAGGCCGCCAGCCACAGCAGGAGCAGCACCAGCTTCAACTCAAAGCTCATGTGCAGAAAGAGGGAGCAGGAGAGGAAACCCAGCACACAGCAGTGCATGGAGTACTGTGGGGTCAGGCGAGGCCTCAGGTGAGGGCATGTCCCACAGGCAGGGGTGGGAAGACACCCATGAACTCCCATCCTGTCCCTCCCAGGGCCCCCAGCTTGTCTGGGAACAGGGGCCATCATCCACACAAACACATACATGTTGGATGTGATTTATGTGTTCCCCAGTCCACAGGATGGAATGTTTTTGAACTTGGGGTAGGTACTGAGGAAGGGTCTGGGGAAGGAGGTCCGGGGCTTTAACGCATCCCTACCGCGACACTGATGAGAGGCAGTGACCCAGGCAGCTCCCAGGACAGGTTGAAATCCATGGAGGACACACTGGGGCCCTGGTAAGGGCAGTCTGTTGATGCTGGTAAGAAGAACTGCAGAAGAAGACGAGAGGCTGAGAGGGAAGGCAGCTCCTTGACACCATGGTGGCTTCAGCTGGGTTTCAGTTGATCTAGGGATGAGTTAGGGCCAGGCTCCTACAAAGGGGTGGATTCTGCTAGTTCTGGTTGGTGAGGGAGCCTCAGCTCGTGTCTTCACTGTAGAAGGACTGAGATGGTTCCACAAGCACCAGGCTGCCCCGGATCTACTCTACCAGATCTTGTCAGCCACTTAACCTCTCTGGGCCTTAGCTTCTCTTCTGGAGCTCGGCTGGGGATGATTCTAGGTGCTCCTCAAGGATAAAATTCTAGGAATGATTACACATTCTGTTAAAATCAGCCAAGGGAGCTAAGTAGTAAATATCTGCCCACATAGGAAAGAGATGGGAAGGCCATCCATCACAACATTTTTGACAATGATTATGTGCAGGTGATAGGCTGTGGGAGACTTTTTTCTTTCTATTTGTACAACATTCCCAGCCTCCCTTGGCCTTAATCTAGTTGCCCTTCCAGATTCAGGGATCCCTTCTTAGTCCCTCACAGATCCAGTGCTGTGCTGGGATGGATAGGAGTCCCTTTGCTCTCACCAGGCTGGCAATGGCCATGGTGAAGACGAGGAGGATGGTAGCAGTGCCCAGGGCTACTCGCAGTCCAGGCTGTGTGGCCACTAGGCCAGACAGTGCAGGCAGCCAGTGCAGCATCTTGGGGCCTTTCTGGACACACCACTGTGGAGGAAGCACAGGTGTCTTGGCCGTGAGCTGAGGCGCCTTCCTCAGCCCAGGTTGTAGCCCGAGCTCCAGCTGACCACTTCTACCTCCCAGCCCACCTTACCGTCAGGTGCTCTGAGAAGCAGACGAAGAGAAGGAGAAGGAAGAGGAGGAAGGTGATGCTGTAAGTAAAGGCCAGAGCTGGGGGCCTGTGGAAAGATGAGGAGGAGGCTTTGAAGAGCCAGAACAGGGTGTGCTGTGAGGGTACTATGCCTTCTGGGTGGGGGCTGCCAGGCGGAGTGGTCCAGGGGACCCAGACTAGCTGCTGATGGGGTCCAGGCTGATCAAATGCATTATATTTTGATAGTTTTGGAGAGTGAAAGGTCCAAGGAAGTGTTTGGGTGGATCAATGGGACAACATTGAAGGCTCACAAGAATGGCTAAGGCTGCTGCTGCACCAGCCTGATCTCTGGCTAAAGCTCTTTAACTCAGCTGAGTTTTGAAAAAAAGACCTTAATAGAAGAGACAGGAATAAAGACCTTTTCTAAACTCATTTGGGCTTCTGAGTGGGAACACAAGCTCCTCCATGGGGCTGTTGTAGCACCAAAAGAGACAGGTGTGTGAAAGTGCACAGCAGTAATGAAATGAAGGCTGTGCTTATCACCAATTCTCTAGAACATGTTTCCTTTGTGGGCAAGTGCCTAAAGCTAGGGGATGGGCAAAGGAAGACAGTGTGGGTCAGGGGTCAAGAAGGGCAAGGCGGTCTGTGGAGGAGAGCCAGGACTCCCTTTGACTGGTGCAACCTTACCTGTTTGTCACCAGCATTTGGATGATGAAGTTGGACAGAAAAACCAAGAAGGCGCAGGCTGTATAGTATTTGAAGGCGGGGAGTGAAGAGAACCGATACTAGAAGGGAAGGAAGGAGTAGGTAGAGACAGGGCCTGTGCTCAGCCCCATGCCCCACCCTTCACAGTTCCACAAGCCTCTACCACTTCTCCAAGGAGTTTTCCCTGCCCACCACCACTAGCTCAATGTACAGAATGACTTTTCTGTCTGAGAGAGGCCCAAGCCCCTTGCTCCAGGGTCAAAAATTGAGCAGACTAGGGGAGGGGAAGGACACACAAGGCCTGATCCCTCTCCAAGGCCTAGGAACTAAAGCTGGGAAATCCTTTTGTGTCCTCCTTCCAGCCCACCTGTTTCTCCATCTCCTTCTCTCTGAAGTACAGTGTCAGTAAGTTGAAGTCCTTCGACTGCTTCCACTGTCTGGTGAAAGGTAGGGTGTGGTAATGCCAGAGAGGACCAGGTGGGGTAGGACAGGAGGAGGGACGGGGGGGGGGTCTTCCTTCTAGAATAGCCTTTCATTTCCCTCCCAGCCCTTGGGGGAGCGTCACCCCTCCCCCACCATGTGACGCCTGAGGGCCTCCTCCCCTCCTAGACCTCTTTGCTTTCCATACTTCTGAGAGTTGAGCTGTTCGATGACCTGGAAGAACTTGGCATCCCCAGTGTCCAGCTCATCATCTAGTCCCCGGGGGGTCCGGCTCCTGCATGGTGAACACCAAGCTTGTCACCAGGGAGACCCTCAAAGCTTCTGGGTGGGCAGACCAGCCCCCCAGGAAGGACGGAGACAGGTCACCCAGGCAGCTCCACTGTCAGAATTGCTCATATCTCCTTACCGGTCCAGGCTCCACTGGGGGCTGAAGGAGGCCAGGGCCTTCTCCTGTCGGGAGAGCACACAGAGGAGGTTAGTGTCGCCTCACAGCGAGGCAGCTGTGAACTGCACAGTACGGTCTGCATGTGTTCTTGGCCATGGCCATTTGACCTGTTTTTTCCTTCTGCTCTTGATGACTTCTCTCTCTTCCCCACCAAACCCTACCTGACCTCGAAGGGGAGATTCAAGCCCCATTTCCTCCTATGTAGATTCCCAGGGTCTTCTACCTTTTATTTCTTCACTGCTTCCATCACTTAAGTAGGATCCCTTTATCTTCTATATGCTTCTGTATGCCCTGTCTCCTCTTCCCTGAAGGTTGCAAGAGTTGGATGTGGGGGCGATCTGGCTATGACATCTGTCACCCCACTGGTTGCCAGCGCTGATTCCAGCTGATCTGGCTGCCTGGGCAGGTGCCTCCTTCCTTCCTCACTGTTCTGTTTGTCCCTCCTGAAGCTGTAGGCTTAGTGAAAGAGGACAGCCTTCACCAGTGGATGAGGATCATTTCCTTTGTCAAGAAATAGCTCTGCTCCTTTACTACAACCTCCAAGCAAACTCTCAAGGTTGCACACATTCCAAGGACAAGGACTTTCAAAGCACCTTTGGATGCCCAAAAGTTTAAATTGGAGTGACAGTGCAGAATATTCTGACTTCCCTCTGACCTTTAATGAGGTCAGCTAAGCTGAGCTGAGAGGTGGCGGGGTGGACAAGAAGGAAAAGAGAAGAAAGGGAAAAAGAAAGGAAGATCAATCTGATTAGTCATTCTCTTCGCCACATAGGAATGCACAGCCCAGGCAGAAATGAACAGGCAAAGCAACTTCTGCTAGAAGGTGAAGTTCTATGGACCAGAAGTGTGCTGACCATTTTTCCCTGCTCCTTTTGGTTTACATGAGGTCACATCATCCCCAAACCAGAACCTAGTGTATGGGAGGAGATATTGCAAGGGAATAATAGTATGAGGCCCATCTATGCATCCATACCCAGGAACTTTTTTTTTTCAAACCACCTACCATTCCCTCACTGCCTATGAGTTGAAGGCAGGGAAAAACATTTTATTCATTTCTGCTTTCTCAAAAATTAGTCTAGTGTTTGCCATAAAGTAGACTCTCAAAAAATGTGAAGGGATGCTGGGGATATAGTTCAAGGGTAGAGCACTTGTCTAGCATGCACGAGGCCCTAGATTTGATCCCTAGCACTGGAAAAGAAAAAGAGTGGAGGGAATGGATAGATGAATGGTACCCAACAGTACAACACTGTCCCCTACTCCAAAATTCTGCACCATTTAAGAGTAAGTCGATGGTGACTCTCAGGATTTCATTTATTGAGTCCCCAGAACTTTAGGGGTCTAGAAGTAGAATTCCTGGGCTGTTGAGGTCCTACTTCAGGAGATACCTGTTCAGCTCCTCCAGCTTGATAGGTCCAGGCCTACACACCAGTGGAGAGTGGCAGGAGGTCTGGCATGGGCTCTGGTAGGCATTCCTACCACAGGAATTTCTCCCAAGGTCACCTCACAGTGCTTGTAGACTCTGGGCTCTAGCACCCCTGCCCTGGGGGGCTCATCCTGCAACAGTCAGCAGGGCCTTGGATTCTTCCTTCCTCTCCCTCCTGTCAGTGTAACCCCCTGACCTCCCCCTTTCCCCTGCTGATACTTAAAATTCAGTCCTTCCCTGCACCATTGCTGCCAGTGTCACCTCACTCTTGGCTGATCTCTGCTAGAGGTATTATAACACTTCCAAGTCCAAGATGCACCTTTTCTAACAATTACAAGAAAAAGATACTTAAATGTTGTCTAACTCGCTACCTCTAGATTTTATGGTACATGGTCACCCCTGACAGCTATAAAGCTTAGATGCTGTGCAATAGAGTATGGACTTTGTGCACAACAGGCCCAAGTACTTTACCAAAAAATGCACCCACAGGCCTATGGTTATAGTCTAAAATCATCTTCCAGATGTGAAGATCTAGCAAAGAGCCCTTACCACCCTCACCCATTCTTCCCTCTTCACTTCAGTTACTTGAGTTCAGGACCAAGAGGTGGCTTTAACAAAGGTCATTTCAGAAGACAGTTCTTCTTAAAAAGTACTTTGCTTTCTTTCCTGCTAGATGGGAGAGGAGGGGTGTGGAACAAAGGGTACTTTGAGATGTCCCATCAGTCCTGGTGGTGGTCTTCCAGTAAATGAGACTCTGGGAAGACCTGGAGAAAGGTGGTTGGGATTGTTGAACAGATTTCAGGAAGGCTGGGTAAGATGGGGGACAACTGGCCCCTGGGACAGGACCTTAACCCTGTGCATGCCTTGAGGAACATGACCCAGGCTCTTAAGGGAGGGAGTGCTGGTAGCTCATCATTGAGTATCAACTCCAAGAGCCTGGTTGTGGCAGAGATCCAGGATCCCCACCAGCTAGTGGGTCACTGTGTACCTCACAGTGCTACACATAGGACTGGACAGTAACTGGAGCTGCCCTAAAGTCATCCAGACCAGAGGCAGCCTCCCCTTTCTTTACCCCATCTGCTAATGGTGACTTCCTTTTTCAAGGTCATGTGTGATTTTCACTTGTACCTCGCTGTATCCATGTATAAATGCTGAGGAGTAAGGGCAACAACCACCTTTCCTTCTTTTCCTACCTTCCCAATTCTAATAAGAATTGAGGGAAAGCATGCAGTTACAGGAATGAGTTAAATAGAGACATTTCCTGGTGGGGTGGGTATGCAGGGCTGAAATCAGAATCAGGAGGAAATGGAGTCTATTCTTGGGGTGTCAGGAAAGGGGAGAATGAGGGACAGTGGACACAGTATCTATGGAGATCCTGCGTCTTCTCTGAGGTGAGTGCAGAGAGCAATGAACTTTGCTCTTTCCCTGGAAGGAAGGGCAAGGAGGAGGCCAAACTTGACTTGGGTTGTCACAAATCAAGTGACTCACTGGTGAGTTGTATGGGAAGCCAAGAGTGGAGCCTGAGGACAATGAGGGTGGATTTACCCTTAATGCTGAGGCTCATAACAGAGGTACACTTACTGGGAGAGGAGTGGAGGTGGACACAGGGCTGTCTATGTGGCTCAGGTGGGCAAAAGGCTTGGCTGCACCCCAGGACTCCAAGTAGCGGGTCATCAGCAGTGATGGGCGCATCTTGTGTCCCTCCAGAGAGAACAGTAACCCTCCTGTGGTGCCCTTCTCATCCTCTTCCTCAGCCTGGGGCATATGGAGTCTGATAGTAAAGATCACAGATGCTTTCCCTTTCCCCCCACATCCCTTAGAGGCTTGTGCCTCCTTCCTGCCCACTAGGACCCAGGAAGTCAATCTCTAGCATAGGAGAAGCGATCAGGCCTGTTGACATGGGTGGTTTGTGTAGGTCTGGTCCAGGGTGGGCTTTTACCCGAGGATCAATGACCAGGTATGTAGGCTCTCCTAGCTCCCGAAGGTATGGGTCTCGGTGTTCCGTGGCTGCATCCTCCACAGCATAGGCCCCTGCCAGCAGGGCCAGGGTAGCCCCTGTGATGTGCACCCGGCTGGAAAGAGGGAACAGTGGGAGGCTGATCAGCAAGGAGGTCCTCCAAACCCTTCAGGTTTCTCCAAGGACACTCCTGGAGGTGTGATTTCAAGAAAAGATCTGTTACAAGGGGTGCCTCCCAGCTCCTCTCCTTGCACCCTAGAATCTCTCTGGGCCCCACACAGGGTTGTACTAATTTTAAGGAACTACGAAAAGGGTGGTAGCAGGTAGGAGGCCTGGTTGGCTCTTGAGGTGGCTGCCTGGGGCCCTGGGTCTCACCCTGGCACACCGCTCGCCTCCATGTGGTTGGCCAGTGTGACATCATGGGACCAGACATCATACTGCCACTTCTGCAGCCCGATGACTCCACAGAGCACACTGCCAGAGTGCACGCCCACACGCATGTTGATGTCCACACCAGTGGCTGCCCGCAGTTTCCTGAGCACAGGACAATTTGAGTCTTGCCTTAAGCCTTGTCCATGAGACACGCCTCCTCCTCTCAAGCAGGATGCCATCACCTGCCTGTCCTTTCCCACATCCATCCGTCTGTACTGCCCCTGCCCACACACCCACAAGCTGACCTGATGGCCCGGCACATGTCCAGCCCCATGCGCACGCAGTTGATGGCGTGGTCTGGCAGTGAGAGTGGCAGCCCGGAGACGCAGTAGTAACAGTCCCCCAGGATTTTGATCCGCATGCATTCGTGCTCCTGGGAGTGTGTGTGTGGGTGTGTAGAGGAACCTGGTTAGAAGCCAGAGGGGTAGGAGGGAGTTGGGAAAAGTGGGGAGCGAGAGTGGTAATCCTGAAGAACTTCCAAGGTTGGGAGTGTCTAGGTCAGATCTAGGGACTCCCTCAGCTTGGTATGGGGTGACTGAGGTGTCCCCTGCAGATGGCTTTCTCAGAAGAGACAGCCCTCCAAAGGGCTGAGGCATCCGTGGGTCTCCCCATGGCACATGTATGTTGTGCATGGACTTGGTTATGTGGAAGTAGTCTCAGGACTGAGGGATCTGGAGGGGGAATCCCAAAATGGGTTGTACCCCTGGGGTTTGAGGAGGTGCTGAGCTATATTTGCAGAAGCAGAATTTCTCTTGGAAGATAGTCTCCAGGTTGGCGCACCTGAGTATTCTCTAGATTTGGATGCAGTGCCCAGAGACACCTGTGCAGGAGCACATTGAGGAGCACTATAGTTGGGATGTCAGTGATGTTGAGAGGTCTCTCCAGGTTTGAGAAGCAAGTGCGCAGCTCATGACTGGGAATGTGTGAGGAGTTTCCCACTTCTACTGTGTGTCTGGGAGCCTGCATGGGCTCTGAGGTGGGACTAGGGTCTTAGCAGACAGGAGCTTTCCTTGGAAGGGGCTCTCCAGGATGGGGTGTTTGAGGGTCCCTAGTTGGGGAGAGAGGCCCCCTCTGACCTTGGCGATCTGGTCGAACTTGCCAAAGAGCTCATTGAGCATGAGCACCAGCTCTTTAGGGGAGCACTCACTGGCCAGCCGCGTGAAGCCCACGATGTCAGCATACAATACACTGTGCAGGAAAGACTTCGTCAGTGGGGCCAGGCTCTCAGTCCACAGCGCACCACTTGGCTCACCCTTCCTCGTACCTGACTCCTTGGTGTCTCTTCACATAGAGGCTGTGGAAGTTATTGGTGTTCTCTGGCTGTGACCCCTGTCCAGCCTGCAGCCGTGCCATGATCTCTGCTTTCATCTCTCGGGCCAGGTAGGCAGGAAGGATGGACAAGAGAAGGTGTTCCTGGGGAAGGTCACTATGAGCACCAACCCTCTCCTACTCAGCCCTCCAACCATCCAGGAGCCCACATGGTGCTCCCCCCAGTGTGCTCCCCTCAGGCCCCAGCACCCCATCCTACCCTGATCACCTTTAGGGATTTAACTCTCAGTACCAGCACCTGAATTAGAGCTCTTTACTCAATATAATGTCTTGACTTTCTTTGAGCCTAGCAACAACCTTCTAAGTTGGGCAATAACCACATTTTATACAAAGGAGGAAATACCATAGAAGGTCAAGTAACTTGTCCAAAGTCACTGAGCTTGCAAAAGAGCCTGTGTGTAACTTAAACAATTCTCTCTGAGCATGGGTCCACCTTGCCTCCTGGGCCCAGCTGACCTGGTGCTTCTTCTCTGTGTCCAGTCTCCGCCGAGAGTGCAGGGAGCTGAGTGCCTCCCGGAAGGTGGCCCGCAGCGCACGCTCCATCAGCGCCTTGTGGTATGCCCCCACCACATTCCCACACAGGAAGAGCACTGCGTTTGCTGCCAACTGTGGGGAGGACCAGTTTCAGAGGGAGCAGGCAGGGGAGGTCAGGGTGTCCAGGGCTGTAGGTGAAGTTGTTTTTCAAAATGTGCTCTGGAGGGCCTGGCTCTAGTCAGGAATCCAAACATCTTAGGGCAAGCGGTGCCACACTGTGAAGTTCCCAGAGTGTCTCTCCTCCCAGTGCTCTCTGCCCTAGAGTTTTAGCTGCTGGACCAACATGGCTTCTTAGATTAGAAATCTTTACAATTTGTATGTCCCTTTGCTCTGTCTGGAAAACCACTTCACTATCATCCTCTGCCTCCACTGTAGCTACACAAAACTACTCAAATTCTGATTTTCATTCTCTGAAGTTTCCATTATCTGCTTCTGCCTCTACACCCTTTATCCCTGGATGAACTATGACTCTCTTCCTTGTGGGCCCAGAACCCTCCTCTGGTATCAGTAGGTGTGGCACTGCCCTGATGTACCTGGGACAAGAGGCTATTATCCAGGTCTGTGTGTGGACCTGCACCCACCGTTGCACACAACTTTAGTCCTATAGCTCAGTAAATGCTCAGAGAGGACCTGCAGCAGAGCCAGCCCAGGGCACTGCTTGTGTTACTTGCACGCTTACCTGTGGCAGCAGTGCAGGTTGGGAGTCTGGCTGTGGCCCAAGGTACAGCCCGAGGACCAGCAAGTGGGAGAGGGAAGAGGTAAGGCCTGCGGCGGCAGCCTCCCACATGGCCAGGGGCAGCATGGCATACACGGTGAAGATGATGAAGAGGAAAAAGGACACCTGCAGTAGGGTGCAGGAAGCTGAAGGCCCACAGTACACAGCACATGGTTTGGGTGCTGGTTCCCCCATTCCCTACCTGCCATCCATCTTACCTGGTCCCAGGCGCTCACGACACCCCCAGTGAACAGGAAGCCCTGGCCTAGAGCCAGCAGTGCAGCCCACACGAGGCCGGACAGAGGTCGTGTCCAGCGCTGCAGTCGCTGCTCACGGGAAGCTAGGCCCAGCAGCAGCAAGAAGCCACCCAAAGCACTTAATACCATGGTAAGGAAGCCTGGGTCTGAGGTCAGCTCCTGCAGGGCAAGGGTGTGTGGGGTAAATGGATGGGAAGCTTTGGGCACCTAATCAAGATGAGGAGAAACCAATTAGATAGAGGAAGAGTGAGCAGCTCCCTGCACATTTCTGAAAAGCGTTTCAAACCCAAATAAAAAAAGGAAGCACAGCACCTGTTTGCCACGCATATTAAGTTGCACCACAGGAAACTGCCAGCCAGGCAGTGGTGCACACCTGTAATCCCAACACTCCGGGAGGCTGAATCAGGTTGGATTGCAAGTTTCAGTACCACCTGGTTAATGTAGCAACACCTGTCTCAAAAATAAATAAATAGCTTGGGAAATATGGTTCAGGGGTACAGCATCCTTGGATTTGATCCCCAGTATATATATAAGGCTGGGGATGTACGTACAATGACAAGGCTCTAAGTTCAGTCTTTAGAAATTGCTGATATTCTTTTGTTTTTATCAACAGAGTCGGCGGTGAAATATGGTTCAACATGCTGCCGTGGAATCTGGGACAGTTATAGACTAGCCAGTTTGGATCTCCTATCGGCAATTCTGAAATCCATGGCCTTTCCACGCCTGTTTTATCTGTCAAACTGGAATTGTAGCACCTGACTGGTATCCGGAAGGAAGCGAACGACTGTAGCTCACAAGACAACACTAAGGAAAGAATGTCTCCAGATCAGGGTATTTTCCTCTGGACAAACCTCGCAGCGGTGGGAGGCGGGGATAGCTCGAGGCTTCGGGGACGGCGCGAAGCAGCGCTTGAGCAGCAGGGGGCGCTCCTCCCTCGCACCGTCCTAGCCATCAACGCTAGCTTTTCTCCACCTGCCTCTGCTCGGCCCAGTCACCCGGCTGTTCCCGCCTTTTGTTCCCACCTCTTTCCGGACTTTGGGTGGATCAGCAAAGGCTGGCCACACCCATTTGACTTTCCCACCTTGCCTCCAGGAAGTGAAACGAAAACAAGGAGCAGGACATTTTCAGACATGAAATTGAAGACCTTCTTCCTCCCCAGGGACAGCCTGAAAATGGGTTGATTTGGGGTCTCCTTGAAGGTCGAATGAAGGGGCCTTCTGGGAGTCTCGGGGGTACAACTGCCCCACTTTGCGAAAGAGGGAGAAAAGACAAGGAAATGAATCCCCACAGGGGCTTGAGTAGAATTTCCCCTCTGGGAAACTGGAAAATCTGGTGTTGGATTTAGTGTCCTAGAACCGGTGGACACAGAAATCCCTGAGGTCTGTTAGAACCCAGAGGGAAATGAGAAGCATCCAGAACCCAGCTACCTCTCTGTGCAGACCTAGAGAGCAAGGCCCGGAGGGCAGTGACTGCTCAGGGTCCCTATAATTCAGAGCAAGGTTCTATGCGCTTCTCTGGCTCCCAGAAAAGAAAACATGGGAAGGAAAACCTCCAAACCCCGACCCGAAAATGACCCCGGGGAAGTGACCCCCACCTCCCGCACCCCTCGCCCCGCTCACCCTGCCACTCGCCCAGGCCAAGGCGAGCAACGCCAGGAGCGCGCAGAGCACGATGGCGAGCAGCAGGAGCAGCAGCGGGTACTGCTGGCTCAGGCTGTAGTAGGTCTCGTAGAAGAGGTCCTCGCGCT